GAGATAACCAAAATTACTAAATATTTAAAGTTAAGCAGCTTTACTCTAAGAAAACAGAAGTGGCATCTTACCTTGTAGCGTATGTGTACACACCTGCATAACCCTCCATGGCATGGCATGTGTGAAAGTCAGAGGGCACTTGGCTCGGAGCAGCTCCTTCCTTCCACCCCACCCGAAAGCTCAGTTCTGCAGGCTCCCGGGGAGTGCTTCACCCACACAGCCTTCTCACCACCTCTGTGGGGTTTTTTTTGGGGGGGGGGAGGGACTGGGTCCTGCTTCCTCCTAAGTGCTGGGATTATACTGTCCTCATGGGCACCAAGCCTGTCTGGAACCACAGTAATTTACAAATTCTCCTTTTAGGTGGCCTCCTGGAAACCCACCTACACAGCGGGTTTTCTCCAAATTGACCAAATGAAAAATATCTAATACTCAGTAGTAAACAAGTGTCCAGTTATTGTTTGATTTGATTTTATTATTTGGGGTGTGTGTGTGTGTGTGTGTGTGTGTGTGTGTGTGTGTGTGTGTGGTTGGCTTGTGCCACATGAGTGCCTAGTGCCCGAGGAGACCAGAAAAGGGCATCAGATTCCCTGGAACAGACAGAATGGAACCCAGGTCCTCTGGAAGAGGAGCCAGTACTCTTACTGAGCTGGGTCTCTGGCTCCTTCATCAAGATTTTTTTAATCTGAATCTGTCAAGTCATTTCACATGTCATACTTCTTGTACTCTGGGCTTCATAAGATGGTGACTGCTAATGAAGTTACTCACCTCATGAACAGTTCTGAAAGGTGTATGCCAGCAAATGCCTGCAGTCTTATAAGCATTGTTTGCCTCTGCCTGTTTTTGGTTGTATGGAGGTTTTATGGTGTTTTTTTTGTTTTGTTTTTTTGTTTTTCACTGCTTATTTGTTTTGAGACAAGGTCTTACTATGTAGCCCATGCTGCCCTGGAACTCATCATGAAGCCAGGCTGTGCCTAAACTCAGATATCCCTGTCCCTCTGCCTCCTCCGTTCTGGGATTAAAGGTTTGGCTACCATGCCTGGCTGTTAAGACTTTTTGTTTTTGAAACAGTGCCTCATGCTTGCCAGGCTGTCTGGGAACAACTCAGTAAAGATGGTGCTGAACTTGTGGTCCTCCTGCTGGGATTGCAGGCATGTATGAATGACTGCCCAGTTTTGTTTGGTTCTGGGGATTGAACTGAGGGCTTCATGAATGCTAGGTAAGCACTCTACCAACTTACATCCCCAGCTGACTATTTTCAGGTCATTGGGTATAGTATATTACCAGACTAAAAGTATTTCCGAAGCCTGGTGTGATGATTCACACCTGTCATCCTAGGCACTTGGGTAGGTAAGGCAGAGGATTGCTCTGAGTTCAAGGCCAGTTTGGGGTACACAGTAAGAGTGTCACCAAAAAAAAAGGAAAAAAATGAACAAAACAAAACAAAATTGGGGCTGGAGTGATTGGGGCTGGAGTGATGGCACAGTGGTTAAGGGTGCTTGCTGCTCCTGAAGAGGACCTGGGTTTTGTTGCCCACACCCACCTCTGAGGACTGAATACCCTTTTCTAACGCCCACATTCATATATGCATCCACACACAGACACACATAGAACACATAACTTAACAAGCGGAGGGGGGGGGAAGGGAGAAAGAAAAAGAGAGAAAGAGAGAGAGAGAGAGAGAGAGAGAGAGAGAGAGAGAGAATGTAAGAAAGTTCACAAACACAAGGAAATTTAAAGGTTGAATTTTGTGAATTTTGTTTCTTTTGGTTGGTTTTGTTTTTATTGTAGTTTGTCTTTTTTTAGTTTTGGTTTTGTTTGTTGGTGGGGGTGGGTGTTGCTTTTTTTTTTTTTTTTTTTTTTTTTTTTTTTTTTTTTGGACAGGGTCTCACCATTAACTCTGGCAGCTCACTATATAGATCAAGCTGGCCTCAAACAAAGATCCACCTGCCTCTCCCTGCTGAGTGCTAGAATTAAAGACATGCCTCACCGTGTCCACCTCAACAACTTACATTTTAATTAACATCGTTTTATTTTAGCTTAGCGCCAAGCTAGTTTTAGTGAAAGCAAAAAAAACCACATGAGACTGACTGAGGCTTAGAGATGAGAGTCCCTGCCGGCATTGCTCGATTCTGGGTTCCGGGCCCCAGCACAAGACAGAGGAGGGAGAGAAGACAGTGAAACCAAGAGGAACTGATAAAGAGCTCTTGAAGGAAAGGCTGGCCAGCTACATGGCTAAGTGGGCCCTCAACACCAAGCATGACAGCCTGGGTTGGCCCTCCACACGTACACTGTGATAGGAATGTACCTATACACACAAAACACCAAAAAAAGGGGAACTCAGGGGCTAGATTTTTTGTTGTTGTTCTTGTTTTTTTAAAAACCATCTTTACTACTTTTTTTTTTTAAAGATTTTATTATGTATACAACATTCTGCTTCCATGTATATCTGCACACCAGAAGAGGGCACCAGATCTCATAACGGATGGTTGTTGTGAGCCACCATGTGGTTGCTGGGAGTTGAACTCAGGACCTCTGGAAGAGCAGTCGGTGCTCTTAACCTCTGAGCCATCTCTCCAGCCCTGAGGGGGCTTGGTTTTGATTTGGGGGTCTTTCATATGTTAGTAGCAGACCATTGTGATTCCAGCTCTTGGGAGGTAGGCAAGATCGGGAGTTCAGAGTCATCCTTGGCTGGTGTTTGTCTGTTTTGAATCCAGCATGGTCCTCATGAGACCATGTCTCAAAAAAGGAGTGGGAGTGCTGGAGAGATGGCTCAGTGGCTAAGAGCACGTGGGACTCTTTCAGAAGGACCCCAGTTCAGTTCCTAGCATACATGTAGGGTGGCTTATAACCAACTGTGTAGCCCTAACTCCCAGGAATCCAACACCCTCTTCTGACCTCCTTGGGCACCTGCACATGCATGGCATAGACACATAAATTAAAATAGTTGAAAGGAAATGACCACTGATACAGTGGCTTTAAGGATCCTGTGAATATGATGTATTCACCTGACTATGAAGTCATCGCTCAAAAGCTGTGATAGCCAGGCGAGCTGAAGCGTTCCAGGCCAGCCAGAGCTGCGTCAACGAGGTCCTGTCAAAAGGTTGTAACTGTGTGTAGTAGACACTTTTGGTGCTATGGCAACTGGTATGAAAATTGAGCCTTCAATGACGCTCTTAAATAAAAACAGAACAGCAGGGTCCTGAAACGTCACCAAAAGTCCTTTCAATAGACTGGTGCTCTTTTCCTTGATGCTTGGGCACAGGACCCAGACCCTAGATGTAACATCCTCTGCTTGCTGCTTTTACATGTCATGGGCTGGTAAAGCTGCTTTGCGTTTAACTTTAAATATGAGACAAGATGCTCCAGGACGTCTTGACAGCACAAGGCCTTTCGCCTTTAAGTCTTCAGTGTGAGAACTGTAATTTTGGCCTCTCCCAGTCGGTATCATGAATAGAAGCATTTTAAAACTCTTTGCCCCTTTTCCAGGGAAAGGTGTAAATGCTTCCTTGGATCCAGGTGCTTTGGTCTAGAAAAACGGAACATTTGTGAGGATGCTATTGGCTGAACTTTACCTGCAAGAATAGTAAACAAGTGTTCTTTTACCATCAAATTCATTTTTCATGTAATATTCATTTGTATAAAACTTTGGTCTAATGATCATCTGCATACCTTAAATAGTCACAATCCATTTGCATGAGGTATGTGAATTAAAGTCGTAAGATGAAATCGTAATTCCCGGACTTATGTGTATGTTTGGAATGCTTGAATCTTTAACCTCTTAATCTCCACGTTTCTAGATCCATTTAGCGTTCTCTGCTGTTTGCTTTAAAACTGTAACAGTCAAGCATATCTTTACAGAGGGGAAGTATAATCAAACACACTCTTAAGGATTTGTATACGTATAGAATATTTAGCTCCTCAAACTAGACTATGTGGGGGAGTATTACCCCTGAGCCGACAGCGAGTGAAAATGTGCCCTTTAGTAAACATGCAATAAGGCTCAGCTCAATTCTGCCTAATGTGTTTTTGTTGCTGTCTAGCAGTCAATATAAAACCAAAAGGCAGTGCAGTGATGCGTGCAGAGGCTATGGTGTGCTCTGGGTGTGACTGACTGAGATGGCTGTGGAACTCTTGGTAAGCACGGTCAGAAGCGAGGATCCATGTGTCAAAGACAATTAGAAGAACATTTAAAGATTTTCAATACACGGAAAAAATAATTCCTGACAAGGCTGGAAGTGCTATGTGCTCCGTTTTGGAGTGCTTGATAACCATTCCTGAGGCATTGCGTTCAGTTCCCAGTACTACAGAAATCACAGTTGTTGCTTACAGTAGCCTACAAATGCTTTCAGTCACAAGTATAAACCTCTTTTTTGCAATTTGTTTATTCATAACTCTTTTTTATGAGGTTCCAAGTGATTTCCTCTTTGCAATTAAACCTGCCCTTTTCCTCATTATCTTTTAGTTCTTAAGACAGAAGAACCAGATAAGTCTCTATTGTGTATGTGTGTTTATATTGCATATATGTATACGGTGTGTTACAGGTCCTGTTAATGCGGTTGTGCTAAGACGTGTTGATTTGAGTGCACACACTGTGTGAGTGTGTGTGCACTGTGATAGATGCTTTCCCTGGACATGCTGATGCAAACATTTGGTTCAGTGCAACTGCTATGGTTGTGTTTGTCCATTTTCCATCAAAGTAATGTTTGTCTTTACGGTGGAAAATGGAAGGTGCTATATTAATTTTGTTTGGCCAGCTTATTGTTTGACAAGCTTATGTTGGCATCATTCTTATGTATCTTGCATATTGTACCAATGCTAAGTGTTTCTCTACTCTTGTGGCGGTGTGTGCTTGAATTAAATTTCTAGAAGTATGAAAATCATTAAAATCCCGCTTGCCATACCGTCCTTTTGGCAGAAATTTAAAGTGTTCACTATAGACTATATGTATTACTCAAATATGACCTTTTTTAAGTTTACTCTGTGGCGTTTTTTTCTTATAGCTGTCACAAGATGAATGTAGGAGCACACTCTACAAATACAGACCTGAAGAAGTAGATATTGATGTAAGTCTCTCTAGCCACTAGGATGCTCTCTGTAGGCCAGGCTGCCTTGGAACTCCTGCCTCTGCCTCTGCCTCTGAAGTGCTAGGATTAAAGGCGTGCACCGTGAAGCCCAACTATTCTTAGGAACTTTTAAAGATAAAGCCAGGAACCATGTTGGTACATTCCTGCAAAGTGGAGTCAGAAGGCAGGAGGATCTGAGGAAGTTCCAGGCCAACATAGACAAGGAGACTTTGTCTCAAATACACAAATAGACAATTATTAAATGAATAAATAAATGGTTTGTGCTGGGGCTGTAGCTTGGCGGTAGAGCATGTGTTTGGCATTCCTGAGACTCTGGATTCCATCAGTTATGGTGGCATATGCCTGTAGTCTGAGATGGCATCCATGATTGTTAAGAGTGGTTTGAGTTATGCAAGCTGAAAAAGCACACAGAGACTGTTTCTCTCTGTGTGTTTAAGTATTTGACTGCTCGTACTCTTTTCTGAAGGAGGGTCTCACTATGTAGACATGGAGAGATCTGCCTGCCTCTGTCTCCAGAGATTACAGGCCTGTGCCACATTCCCTGCCCAAAAACTTTTACTTTAGGTGGTTCTCCTAGAAATAAAAATGTCCTGGGGGGGGGGGATGATCAGAGTATATTGAATGGAAAAACATTTTCAATTGAAACAATTAATTAATCTTTACAAAGTTCTACTAGATATTCCATGACAGTTTTAAATGGCTCCCTCCCCCTTACTACGGGAAAGATTTTAAGTTTCTGACAGTGAACATCTTTTCTTCTAGGCCAAATTAAGCAGATTGTGTGAACAGGATAAAGTGGTCCGTGCCCTGGAGGAGAAGCTGCAGCAGCTGCACAAGGAGAAAGTAGGGCAATTACCTTTGCTATGTACAGTCCATGTTGCTGCCGTGCTGATTATGAGGACACGGGTAGCCAGAGCACGATGAATTAAGTGAGTGATGCAGAACATTCAGCGTGGTCCTTTTTTCTCCCACAGTACACGCTTGAGCAGGCCTTGCTGTCGGCCAGCCAAGAGATAGAGATGAATGCAGATAACCCAGCAGCCATCCAATCTGTGGTGTTGCAGAGGGACGACCTGCAAAACGGACTGCTTAGCACCTGTCGGGAGCTCTCCCGAGCCACCGCTGTGAGTACTTGGATTTTCCTAGGAGCCACCTGGATCCGGACTGGTGGCACAGTGCTAGGGACAGCAGCAGGATGATCACTGGGCTCAGGGCCTGCCTGATTGCGGCTTGTCTTCATGGTCAGCACATGCAGCTTAGTGAGAACCCTTCTCCAAAGAGGAAGATGGGTGGCCATTTGGTCAGTGGTAGAGCCAGGCCTGGTGCTCTGCCCTGTGATCCCGGCTCTCAAAGAGCCAGGCTTAGAGGCTGCACTCTGTCTCAAAAAAAAAAAAAAAAAAAAAAGTCATTTAAACTTAATACCAGCACTCCAGGAGGCAGAGGCAGGCAGGTGTCTGTAGATTGGAGGCCAACCGTGGCCACATAGTGAGACCCTATCTCAGAAAAACAAAAACAACAAGAAATGTTACAGCCTTTTGACTTTGCTCAATGTTTTTAGCTGGTCTGGCTCTGAAATTGTTAACAGATGTTGTGCCAAACCTGGTGTCACACCCTGCAGTACTGTCCAAGCAGAAGAATTGCTAGAGCGTTAAGGCCAGCCTGTTGCTACATTGTGAGATTTTATATCTACAAAAGGAAAAAGAAAGATTAATTCCTGTTGGTATACTTGTGTTTAGGGCAGCCTTTTCCTTCTTTCTTTCTTTTTTTCCCCCGGTTTTTTGAGAACAGGGTTTCTCTGTGTAGCTTTGGAGCCTATCCTGGCACTCACTCTGGAGACCAGGCTGGCCTCGAACTCACAGAGATCCACCTGCCTCTGCCTCCTGAGTGCTGAGATTGAAGGCGTGTGCCACCAACGCCCTGCAGGGCAGCCTTTTTCTATAATTAGAGTCTTTATCCTTTCTAGAATAGATTATCAACTGAGAAAAGTAGTCCTGCTTCTTACGTAGTGGGCAAATGGGAATTCTTTTTTTTTAATTTTTTTTAATTTTTGAGGCAAGGTCATAAAAAATTCTTAGGTTTGTTAAAATGTATTTCATTAGCCAGGTGGTGGTGGCGGCACACACCTTCAATCCTAGCACTCAGGAGACAGAGGCAGATAGATCTCTTGAGTCTGAGGCCAGCCTGGTCGATAAAGCGAGTTCCAGGACAGCCTTTCTGTTACACAAAGAACCCCTGTCTCAAAAAACAAAAGCAACTTATTTTTATTTGTGTGGGTGGGCGGGTAACCGAATAGACCATGAGAAGGTGCTGGATTCCCCAGAGGTGAAGTGAGCGGCAGCTGGGAGCTGCCTGACATGGGTGCTGGGTACTGAACTCAGGTCCTCTGCAGAAGCAACAAGCACTGGTAACCCATGTAGCCTTCTCTCTGGGGTTCCCTTTAGACAGGGACAGGAACTCCCACGGCCCATCTGCCTCTGCCTCCCAAGTGCTGGGGTTAAAGGTTGAGGCCATCACGTCCTGTAACTTGGAATACTTTAGTTGCACAAGGGAGACCGAGCACTAGCCTGGCCTGGCCTCTGCTGTCCCTTTTGCGTCACTTCCCCTCCCTCAAAGACGCTATGCTGATGTTTTATGTTCTTATGAAGTGACCAAATTATAAGATGGAAAGTTCAAACAAACAAAAAAGCCAGCAAGATTGCTTGGCCACAAAGGTTTGATTATTGGACACTCTGGGTTTGAACATTGGAACCTACATGGTGAAAGGAGAGAAATGACTCCCCAAAATTGTCCTCTGATCTCCACATGTGCACATACATACAAATAAAAAATAAATAAGCCGGGCATTGGTGGCGCACGCCTTTAATCCCAACACTAGGGAGGCAGAGACAGGTGGATCTCTGTGAGTTCGAGGACAGCCTCGTCTCCAGAGCGAGTGCCAGGTTATGCTCCAAAGTCACACAGAGAAAAAAAAAAACCCCGTTCGGGAAAAAAAAAAAAAAAAAAAAAAAAAAGATTGAAAAATAAAGAAATAAAATGTGAGTATATTTTTAAAATAGAAGACTGCTAGACAACTTTTTATTCAAAGAGACCAATTTCTATGTTCAGATAAAAGTCTGCTGAAGCCAGGAATGAGACTAATACAGTCGGACAAACTCTTCGGTGTTTTTTTTCTCCCAGGGAATATTGACCCAAGTCCCTGCATACACTTGGCAGGCACTCTATGGTTACACGTCCCTCAGCTGAGTCACCAGGAAGCCCTTGTTTCTGACTCAGCCGTCCAGACAGCAGGGATTACAGTCATGTGTGTCGGTCGCCCTGCCCAGCTTTTTTTTGTTTTGTTTTTCATTATATACTAGATGTGGTGAGGCGCATACTTTTAATCCCAGCACCTGGAAGCCGAGACGAGAGGATCAATACAAGATCAAGTCCAGCCAGGGTTTAGAAGCTGGAGAGACAGCTCAGTGGTTAAGAGTGTTTACTGGGGGCTGGAGACATGGGTCAGGGGTTGAGAGCACTGGCTGTTCTTCCAGAGGACCTGGGTTCAATACCCAGCACCCACACGGCACCCACACGGCAGCCGTAACTCCATTCCAGGGGATCCAGCATTCTCACCTCATCCAGACAGGCAAAACACCAATGCACGTAAATAAAATAGATAATTTTTTTTAAGAGTATTTACTTCTCTTCTTCCTAATGACCTCAGTTTTGGTTCCCAGCACCCATGTCAGGTAGCTCCCATCTGCCTGTAACTCCACCCCCACGTGATGGTTCACAGACATCCATGACTCCATTTCCAAGGGATCTGATAACCTTTTCTGTCCCTGTGAGCACCGGAAATCTGTGTCGTGCACATACGTACCTGCAAGCAAGCAAACACCCATACACATAAAGTAAATCAGTCTAAAAAAATGTTTTAAAGAAAACATGGCTGGGCTGTTAGAGCCTAGGCTCACAACCAAAACCACAAGAAAACAAAGGTCCGCCAGTGATGGAGAGGATGTGAGGAACCTTTCCCCCCCCTGATGAGGATATACCCTGCTGTGAGAATGTCAGGCTTGAGGTTCCTGAAAACAAGGTTGAAGAGATGGCTTCACTATTTCAGGGTCCAGGTTCAATTCCTAGCATCCATGGGGGGGGGGGTGTTACACCTCTGTAGCAGCAGCTCTGGGGGATCTGATGGGTTCTTCCAAGGACGTCCGCTCACATGCACTTACCCACACGCATACACAGAATTAAAAATAAAATGAATTGGCAGATGGTCCGGCTATACCGCTGTACTCCTGGGATTCTCCCCAGAAGACTAAGTCAGCACACCCCGGAGACACATGCTCATCCAGGGTTACTACCGACAGCCGCAAGAGCTACACAGTGGAACCAGCCTAGGTGTGCATAATCTGATAAATACGAATTCTTTAAATTTTAATATGGACTTTTTGTAGCCATAAAGAAAAATTAAATCATGACATTTTCAGAAAAACAGATGGAAGGGGAGGAGATATGCTACATTAAATAAAATAAGCCAGACTCTGAAATGACACCCCACGCTTTCTCTGAATGAATTGAGCCTTGAAAAAGAGGAAACCGTAGAGGAGAATGAGTTATGAGAATTGCTGTTTCAGTGCTGGAGGTGTAACTCAATTAATCCATACAATTTTCTGAAATCTTTTGAGCTTTGAAGTATACTGACAATATCAGTAAAGCCTGGATCCCCTTTAAAATAATGAATATTTTGATTTTAGGAGCTGGAACGAGCCTGGCGAGAATATGACAAGTTAGAGTATGATGTGACTGTCACCAGGAACCAGATGCAGGAGCAGCTTGATCGTCTTGGGGAAGTACAGGTAGGACAGGCAGTCTGCTCACAGTGCACTTCTGGAGCCTTAGCGGGTTCACACACATCCGGGTGTCTTCAGTGACGGGGTTCCTATTCTCCCACAAAGTGTGTCTCCTTAAAGCCTTTGCGTTGTACTGAACCCTGATGAGCCCTGAAGTGCTAGTGATTCTTGATGTTTAGCATAGTTTCCTTGGCACTGTGCTCCCCCAGAACTCACTGTGCTCCCCCAGCACTGTACTCCCCCAGAACTCACTGTGCTCCCCCAGAACTGTGCTCCCCCAGAACTCACTGTGCTCCCCCAGAGCTGTGCTCCATCAGCACTGTGCTCCCCCAGAACTGTGCTCCATCAGCACTGTGCTCTCAGCACTAAGCTGAGCTCTCGCCACTTCTGTAAATGTGGTGCAGACTCTTTCACAAGTCACTCTGAAGGCTGATACAAAATTGTTCTTTATGTGCATTATTTTTCTTTGGTAAGTGTCTCGCACTTGTAGCTCTCGAAGATGCTGGGATTATAATGTACCCCACCAGCCAGGCAGTGGTGGCGCACGCCTTTAATCCCAGCGCTCTGGAAGACAGAGGTAGACGGATCTCTGTGAGTTCAAGACCAGCCTGGTCTACAAGAGCTAGTTCCAGGACAGCCTCCAAAGCCACAGAGAAACCCTGTCTCAAAAAAACAAAAAATAAGTAAATAAATGTGCCCACCAGCCCTGCAAGGGACAAAGAGTTGTCACAAGTCTTGAAACTGTATGAGGTTAGCCTAAAGGTGTGATATGGAATATTACAAGTAAGGAAGAAATGCCAGAGTAGAATTGAATGTTTGTATTGCAAACATATTTATTTACTTCTGTCTGTCTAGTGTTTTTAGGTTCTAGAATTCAGGAAATAGCACAGGAGCCCTTATCCTCAGGATATGTCCCAGGCCTTTCAGTGAGTTGTGAAACCCCAAATAGTATCGGGCTCTATGTAGTAAGGTTGGGCGAAGGTGATCCCGGGCATTGAGAAATACAGTGGCACAGAGTGGCTGTACCGTTGAGCCACTCTGGTCTGGTCTACAGCAGCAACAAACTGATCAAACAGTTCCACAATGCTTACTCCTTCTTTAACCCAGTGCCAGGGTTGTGTTGAGGGTGTTTTGCATGCTGGGCAAGCACACTGCCTACCCCCTGAGCTGCAGCCCGCTGTGGCTGCGTGTTGGAAACTCGTGAAATTGGACCTGTCAGCAAGGGAGCCCATTGCAGACCTTCTGTGGCTCTCCTCCTGTCCCCAGGGACTTGTTTTTGTCTCGTGTTAATTTAGGAGTGGTAAGTTTTGTTCTCTTTTTGTTTTCAATCTGTAGTCCCTTCTAAGAGTGTGCTTTTCTGGGATCACCAATAACAAACAACAAAGCACAGTGTGGCGTGTACAGTGGCATACTTACATCAGGGAAATCGCGTTTTACCGTTTGTTCTTTAGTTTCTATCTTTGCAACGTCATGGGCTCATGTGTGTTATCCTAAATGCCCTGTGGACTTAATCCTCTGTAACTCTCTTTTTATTTATGACTAGACATGACTGACTCCCCCCCCCAACTTATTGTTGAATTAGTTATTTTCCTGTCACTGTGATAGGAAACCCTGACAAGAAGCACTTGGGGAGAAAGGGACTATACCTTGGCTCACAGTTCCACAGGGAGAGAGCTCATCATAGTGGGGAAGCCGTGGCAGCGAGAGCTGGAGGCTGGCCTGCCATCCCGAAGGAAAGATGAGAACTGGAAGGGAAAGCTCCTACCTGGTGTGTACCCTCTAACAAGGCCCCACCACAATGACCTGTCCATCTTTACTGATAGAGTGAATCGGCAGGAATTCAGCGGGCACAGATTCAAAAAGAACTTTGGAGAATTCAAGATGTCATGGAGGGGTTGAGCAAACACAAACAGCAAAGAGGCTCCTCAGAAACAGGTAGGTCAGCTTTGTGTGTGTGCGCATGCTTGTCTAACTGTGAAGACACAGTCACATCTATATCCTAACAGGTTTGTTTGTTCGGAAAACAGCCAGTCTGTGCCTTTGAACGGGCACATAAGTTAGTTTTGGCAGCCACAGCCACACCCAGCCTTGTCGTGTGTGTGCGATACCGACAGTACTTCAGCTTTAGCAACCCTTCGCTTCTGAATCTTCTCAGTGGAACCTTTTGCTCTCCCTCTATATAATATCTTTTATTTATTCTTTGAACGTTTCGTGAATGTACACAATATATCTTGAGCATACACCCCAGCTTCCCTCACAACTGTCCACACCACCTTCGTGTCTTTTCTTGTTTCTAGCCACTGGGTCCAGTTCCCCCTGCTGTCAGCATGCTGACTGATCTCGTCGCCCCCCTCCCTACCTAATAGCTGCCTGTGACATTGTACTCATTGACTGTGATAATAGCTGCCTATGACATTGCACTCATTGACTGTGCTTTGTCCTTTTCCCATATTGGGGAACACGTGCAGTTTCTAGAGTACTATTGGTACTGTCTGTAAGTCCTTCTGTAACAGGCATCATTAGGCATGTAACAGAACATAGTTGCTAGTACCCACTGGGTTCCACGGTGTGAAAAATCAGAGCATTCCCGATTGTTCTCCTCAAAGAGCCCGGTCTATACCAGTAACGCTTGAGGGGACCTATATTCACATGTCCTTTGTTTTCTGCCTTTAATATTTTTTTAAAAAAATTATTTTATTTTGTGTACGCGTGTTTTGCCTCCATGTTTGTCTGTGTAGCTTGTATCTGTGGAGGCCAGAAGAAGGTACCAGATGTCCCAGAACTGGAGTTTTACAGCCGGTTGTAAGCCACCAGAAGAGGGCTGGGAACCCAGCCAGTGCTCTTGACCAGTGAGCCGTCTTTCCAGCCTCACATACCATTCCTTAAATTTAATATTTAGAGCAGGTGTTGGCAGTGCTCACCTTTAATCCCAGTACTCGGGAGGCAGAGGTGGGCAGATCTCTGTGAGTTAGCATTGTCTACAAGTCCCAGGACAGGCTCCAAAGCCACAGAGAAACCCTGTCTCGGAAAAAAAAGAAAACAGAAGAAAGAAACTGAAGGCTAACACCAGTAATCCTAGCACTAGCGAAGCTGAGGCCAGGGTATTGCCTTGAGTTTGAGGCCAGCCTAAGTTAGGGACAGGTGAGCTTAAGCTCCTGGGCAAAATCCTGGAAGTACCGTAGAGGGTTGGGGATGTGAAGACTTTATGTAAAATAAGTGAAGCCAGGCTGGTGAGGTGGTGCAGAGGGTAGGGACACTGGCTGGCAGCACTGGAGACCTGAGTTTGATTCCTAAGACCACAGGGTGAAAGGACAGAACCCATTTCTGCAAGCTGTCCTCTGACTTCCCCAGGTGCACCCTGGCGCGTGTGTCTGTACACACGCACACAAAGTAAATACATTTAACATTTCTAAACAAAGTAAGCTAACCGAGATGATTCTTCTGTGGGTTTGGAAAGGTGTTCTTAGTATAAGTAGTTACGTTTTCTAATTTCCCCAGTAGGTCTGGCAGGATCAAAGCCTTTCTCGGCAGTTAAGTACAAAAGTGAGGTAAGTTTGGTTTGTTTTCCTAGCTGACTATAAATGTTAACAAGTGAAATTAAAAATAGTTAAGTCTTCTCTATTCCTGAAATAAACATTTTTTAGCCTATCTAGGGTGGTGGTGCATACAGGTAACCCTAGTACTCGGGAGGTTGAGGCAGGAGGCTGACATATTTGCAGCCAGCCTGAGCTATATAGCATGACTGTATCTCAGGAAAAAGAAAAAGAAAAATCTTTTAAGTATATTTAGATCATTTTAATCTTGAAGTGTTGCTGACTTAGTAATTTGGTGTCTTAGTAATTTCTAACATGATTTTTTTCCTTAAATGCAAAAATCAAATTAGTGACTACTTTTCATCTATTAGAGTTTTAATATTATTGTACTTTTTCTAAATAATGTGAATATCATGGCTTCTTATGTGAATATCATAGCTTCTTATATTTGATAACATTTATACGATGGTTGGTAAATAAAGTTGGCTTGGTCATGCATGCCATAGAGAAATTGTAACAACAAAGAGATACTGTCAACCTGCCCAAAACAAGTCTGTGGCCTTGAGTGTTGTTTAAAAAGCCAAAAAAGAAATTCTTTTCTTTTTTTTCTCTCAAAATCATCAAAAAAATATATAATAGTAAGATTTTTTTTAAAAAAAAAAAGCCAGCTTCCCCCCTCCCCCTGGTGTTGCAGTGAAGTAAAGTAATTTCACACAGTAATCTGTCTGGGTAGGTAAAGCTACCCCATAAGTGTAGGAGAAAAGACTTAAAACCCCAGTATCTTCTACCACCCTGCAAAACTGCTTTGGTGTTTCAATGTGAGACTTTTGGCTTGGCAGTGTCCCTTTAATCGTGTTAAAGTAACATTAAGTTAACGTAGCAATGAAAACAGTTTAGAAATGCTTAATCAATCTGCTTGTCTAAATAAGGTGACTATTCTACAATCTTTAGGAAGAGGAAGTAGTCCCACCTCGGCCTCCACTTCCTCGGTCTTATGACTTTACAGAGCAGCCTCCCATAATCCCCCCTCTGCTCAGTGATAGCAGCTCCTTGCTCTGTTATAGCAGGGGCCCCGTGCGTCTGCCTGAAGAAAAGAAGCTGCATCAAGTTCAAGGATACCCAAGAAATGGCTCTCACTCTGTAAGTGGCTGCATCAGCCACAGAATGGTTTTACATGCCCACTCATTTTTGAAAACTCATTTTATTTCATACTCCAGCTTATTTTTGCTATAATTCCATTATTTATTTTTAGCTCGTGCTTTTTCATTTGCCTGTAACATTACCCTTTGTTTTTCCCCCGTTTACATTTTATCGTTCTGCTTTTTCATAGTCTCATAACTTTAATGTTTCATTACTCATAAGTTGGTTACTTTATACATTCTGACCAACTCGTATTTTAAACTTGACACTTGAGAGTGTTAGAGGCAAACAGAATATGTGGATCAGAAAATAGCACCACGTGTGGGAGGTGGGCAGTGCAGGAAAACCATGCAGGGATGTGGGCCCTGGCAAGGAGCAGGCCAGGAGGCTGTCGCAGGCACGGACATTAAGGGACCTAGAATTAGCTGGGTGGACTCATGGGTGGACTCATGAGGCCTGAGCTATAATATAGCAAGACCCCCCATCTCCAAAAGAAAAACAAGAAAAGTAGAACTTAGATAGTTTTGAGAAATACAAAGTATTCTCTGACAGGAATTTAGTTTGAGATAAACCTTACTCAGCCTTACTTCTAAATGAAAATGTATGATTGTATGGTTATTTTTAGACCTTAGTTTGACCATGATAAAAATGTGGCTTTGAGCCAAGGATGATGGTACCCGTCTGTCGTCCCAGCTCTCAGAGAGGCAGATGTAGGAGAATCATGACCAAACCAACCTAGGCTAGGCAACCTCAGAGACAGACAGACAGACAGACAACACATGCCTAGGGGGTCAAAAGAATCGGGGGTTCAAGGCCAGTCTTGCCTGTGTGGGTTAATAAAGTACATGCAAAGAGCTAGAGTTGGCTCAGCGGTTAAGAGCACTTGCTGCTCTTCCAGACGACCCCAGGTTTGGTTCTTTGTACCACCTAGAATGGCAGTTCCAGGGAATCCAACCCCTTTTTATGGTATCTGGACACCAGGAACACTTAGAAACATGCAGCCAAAGCACTAATATACATAAAATAAATAAATCTTTAGAGTGAGTGCAAGGCCCTTGGTTCAATCCCTATACACCGAAGAAAAGACTTTGTCCCTGGGAATATAATTAATTTTAAAATAGTAAGTTTTATTAACTAAAAATCTTCCTGAGAAAGGAAAAAATAAACTTTGAATTATTCCTTCTACTGAGTTTTCATGTAACATGTATTGAGAGATATATCGCATACGTGTTTTCCAGTTGAGCCCAGGACCTTGCACATGCTAGGCCAGGCTGCTGTCTCTGAGCCTCCTACCTAGTTGAGATGCACAGTGTACAAGAAACGTGTGGCTTTTGTTGTTGCAATCACATGTCTTCCATTCAAGGGTCCAGATTATAGACTCTACAAGAGTGAGCCAGAGTTGACCACAGTGGCAGAAGTTGATGAATCTAACGGAGAAGAAAAGTCAGAACCGGCTTCTGAGACGGAAGCTCCGGTTGTTAAAGGTCAGTGTTGATTGCATTTTATCTCCCTCTGTGTTTTATTTTGTACTCAGATATTTTGGTTACGTTTGTACCCAGTACATATGTAAGTTCACAATCTCACATCTGAAATCTTTGGGATCTCTGAGTTTCCTGATTAAAACATGTTTTGACCCTGTGTGAGTTGGAGGTCAGTGTGGTCTACGTGGTGAACTCAAGGCCAGCCAGAGCTATGTACATAATGAGATCTTGTCTCGGAGAAGGAGGGAGGGAGGGAGGAAAGAATGCTTTGACCCAGACATGGTGACACAAACCTACAGGAGGATTGCTATGAGTTTGTGAGCAACTAGGTCTACTTAGCTTGACTCTGTCTCAAAAAAAAAAAAAAAAGGGGGGGCCAGAGAATTGGCTCAGTGGTTAAGCACACTCGTAGGTGTTGAAGACCCGGGTTCAACTCTCAACACTTACATGGCAGCTCACATGTAGTGATATATTAAGTCAAGCTTTAATAAATCGTAAATAATACATCACTACACTCACACCATCTGTAACTCCAGTTCCAGGGGATCCAAAATCTCTTCTGACCTCTCAGGGCGCCAAGCACACACATGGTGCACATACAAGCATACACATTAAATAAATAAGTCTAAAAAGATGTGTTTTTAAAGAAATTAAAGTAAAGTAAGGAGAACCAGAAATGTTGAGGCAAAGTTGTCACCATTAGGGGTGGTGTAATGGCTCCGTGACTAAGAGTGCTTGCTGTTCTTGCAGAAGACCTAGGTCCGGTACCCAGCACCCACATCAAGCAACTCACAACCACCTGTAATTCCAGCTCCAGGAGATTCCAACACCCTCTTCTAGCCTCCAAGAGCACTGGCAAGTGCACACGAATGTGTCTGTGTGTGCGTGCACGCGCGTGTGCATGTGGGTGTGTGCGTGCACGCTCAAGCCACAGCGAGCTGCTTTCCTGAAGAAGTTTGTCTTGCCCAGCCGATTGGCAGGCCATTAGGATTGCTGCTTATAGGGAGGGCAGCGGTGTGCCGTAGTTCTTTATCGGAGAGCCCATGAATCCATTTAGATTTCGATGGTGCTGTTGGAGACTTTCAAGGCAGGATGTCATATCTCTGCCTGGGTCTCCATTCTTGGGCCAGTAATCATGGCCCTTTAGTTCCAGTTTTTGCTTTTACTAAATGCTGCTTAGGAGGGAGGCTTGTCCGCATGTAGACACACCACACCGAGTGTCCTATGGCTCTTCTTTCCCCTGTCCCCCGCCTAGCGCTTGGTCTGGAATCCAGGACATCAGGCGTGCTATGCAAGACTGTTCCACTCTGCATCTTCACCAACCTTTCGTCTCATTTGAAGACGTTTGATGGGCTTTTGCATGAAGGAAGTCAGTAATATCAAATTGCATTATAAAAAAACACATTTTTATTTCTTTTGTTTTAATGTTTTCTGTGTGTGTGCATGCATGCATACATGCATGTCAGGTTAGGTCGGAGAACAACCTTAGATGTTGATGTTGACTTTAGAGACTAAAGTCTCTTGGTTTTCTGCTTGTTTGTTTTTTCTGCTGTATGTGCTAGGCTAGTTGGTCTGTGAGCGTGAGCTTCTGGGAATTCTCCTACCTCAGCCCCTCATGTCTGCATAGGAGTGCTGAGATTACAGCTGAACACTATGACAACCTCCAGCATGTGTTCCCTGTCCCTCCTGTGGAGGTCAGAGGACAGCTTTGTAGAATCAGTTTCTTCCCTCAGCTTTCCTGTGGGTTCCAGGGATTGAACTCGGGTCACCAGGCTTGCATGGCAAGCACTTTTGTCCACTGAACTAGAGTTTCAGTCTAGTCCAGGTGGCCTGGAACGCAAACGAAGCTGCCAGGGAGGGGCGCCTCCTCTTCTTTTTCTGCTGCAGGCTTTTTTTTTTTTTTTTGCAGGGAAAGTGATGCTTTTTTTTTTTCTGCATACCCCCAAACCTTTGCATTGTCACTGATGAGAGATCCCTGTCTGTTGGGCGCCTCCTCTTTTTTTTCTGCTGTGGGTTTTTTTTTTTTTTTTTGCAGGGAAAGTGATGCTTTTTTTTTTTCTGCATACCCCCAAACCTTTGCATTGTCACTGATGAGAGATCCCTGTCTGTTGATAAGGAAACAGTAGGCTGGTTAGAGTTCTGTAGACATTCCCTGTGGACAGGCACTGAGAGATGTCCCCAGTAAGTAGTCAGGTCCTTTAGTCGCACTGCCTCTCTGCAGTGGCGGAAGCTGGAATGTGGTGGGAACAGCAATAGCAACAGCCCACAGAACGGAGGCCATTCCTTACAGCTGTAGCCCTCTGAGGGTGCGGGTTAGTGAGTGCTGAACGGGTATCTAACATTGATACAGGAAGGGAGGCCCTGCCTCCTGGCCTCTGCAGCCTGGCGACGGTGCTGGAGCATGAGAAGCATGGCTGATGCTCTCTCGTGGGCAGCACCTGGAGTGGTCTCTGCATGATCTGTGTGTGGACTTTGCAACCGTGTGGTTTTCCCTCAGACACAGTTGGTTTTCACGCTTACAGTGACGGATACACTATAATTTGTCACTAAGGTGCTTCATTTCCGTCTTGAGCACCTCACTGTCCTTGTAGTCCTCAGCTTCTCTTCCTCTGTGTTCCTCTTCCTTGGGACTGTCTGTCCCACTTTTTCCAGCCCCTGGAATGGGCTCAGATTCACATTGCACCGGGGTTCATGCCAAGCTGGTCTTCGTATTGATTTTCAAATGCTAAAATGAATTATAATTCGTTTTATTTTGCTCCTGTTTGGATCTGGCAGTACTGGCTATGGGACCTCAGGCATGCTTGGCAGGAACTTTACATGCTTATTCCCAGGTGTGATCCAGGTGCCCACAGAGCCCAGGGGAGTCGGATTCCTCTGGAGGTGGAGTTACAGGTGGTTGTGAGCCGTCTGACGTATGTGCAGGTTACTGAACCCAGGTCCTCTATCTTGATACTAATCATTCCGCTTACATTCCTGGAATAAACCCTGCTTGCAGTGCTGTTGGCAAAAAACACATCTCTTGTTCCCACACTAAGATTCGTTTATTCTGGACTACATTACACATGGAGGAACACATTCAGGTTACTGCTCTGGCAAAGAACCTGAGTTTGGTTCCCAGCACCCATGCCAGGCGGCTCACCATCACCAATAACTTCAGAGACAAGGGACCTACCTGATGCCTCTGGCCTCCATGAAACTCACCTGGACACATACATGCACACAGAGTTAAGAGTATACTGAAGTTAAGAAGTAGTTTTCTTGTCAGGCGTTGGTGGCCCACGCCTTTAATGCCAGCACTCGGGAGGCAGAGGCAGGTGGATCTCCGTGAGTTTGAGGCCAGCGTGGTCTCCAGAGCGAGTGCCAGGATAGGCTCCAAAGCTACACAGAGAAACTGTCTCAAAAAACAAAACAAAACAAAAAAGAAGTAGTAGTAGTTTTCTTTCTGTTTTCATGAATGTATTGTCTCATACATGTGGGTACCCTCAGAGATCAGAATAGGAGGTGGAGTCCCTTACAGCTGGACATGCAGGTGGTGGAGAGCTGCCTGGCGTGAGTGCTAGAACAACAGCAAACGCTCTCAGCTGCTGGGCCATCTCTCCAGCCCCAGCCCTTTGCAAGTGGCAGGTCTGTCTGATGTGCACCCAGGGCTGGTGTGGTCTGGTGTCCGGCAGAGCACTGTTCGTGGATTAGATGCGGTCCCAGCCGAGCAGAAATCCATAAGCAGCAAAGGCCTGCAGTGAGGTGCATCAGGAGGGCACCCTGCTGGGTGACAGGGGTTCTGTGGGACTTACAGTGCCTTACCTTTCAGGTTCCCACTTTCCCGTTGGAGTTCCTCTGAGAACGAGGTCACCCACGCCGGAATCCTCAACAATAGCTTCCTACGTGACCTTGAGGAAGACGAAGAAGGTGGAGCTAAGAACGGTACAAAGATGAGTGCCAAGCTCTGCGCTGCTGCTGCTGCTGCTGCGAACGAGCGAGCGAGCTTTCTGTTTGTAGCATTCTGTTAGAAACATCACCCTCCTTGCATTTCACCACAGTCAGAGCATCAGCACCTCAGAGGACAGCCCATCAGCCCCAACATAAGTCTTCGTCCACAGTTTGGCTGCACTCAAAATTAACCTCCCGCAAAATAAAAAGAACTGTGAGAGAAAACTAACAGCTATGTATCAGTATTAATGTAGTGGCCGTGATGCTGAAATGCAGTTGTTGGAAATAGTATTTCTATAGTTTCATTGTTAACCAAAAACTATTTTAGGGTGTTTTCTTGACTAGTCGCTTGATGGTAATGTGTAACTGAAAACATTACATTTTCTCAAAATGAAAAAAAAAAACTCCTGGTATTTAGGTGTTCTGTCCCATGTCTCCCCTCCCCCATTTCTCCTAGTCTGAGTTTTATGCCATTTTCTGTTTTTGAGACATGGAGTAACTTTATTCAGGGAAGCCACACCATTTATTGTTTGTTTGAGACAGGGTTTCTTCCTGTAGCCCTGACTGTCTTGGAACTCAATGCTGTAGAGCAGGCCAGCCTCAAACTCACAGAGATCTCCGTGCCTCTGCCTCCCAAGTGCTGGGATTAAAGGTGTGTGCCGCCACCACCAGGCCACCCCATTTATTTTTAGTTGTTCGTTTATGTTTAGTGACACAGGGCTCAATATGTAACCCAAGCTAGCCTCAAATGTACAGCATTCCTGCTTCTGCCTCCTAAGGTATCCATCCCTACACCGTGTGTGTGTGTGTGTGTGTGTGTGTGTGTGTGTGTGTGTGTGTGTGTGTATGTGTATGTGTGTGTGTGTGTGTGCGCGCGCACACACACACGTGCATGAGCGTTTTCTGTGCATGTGTGTGTGCATGTATGTATTCACAGGCTTATTTTTAATCCTAAGGAGAGACCAAGAAGTGCAGTGGAACAGCTGTGTCTGGCTGAAAGTACTCGCCCTAGGATGACCGTGGAAGAGCAAATGGAGAGAATAAGGAGACACCAACAGGCCTGCCTGAGGGAGAAGAAGAAGGGGCTGAATGTCATCAGTGCCTCAGACCAGTCCCCCTTCCAAAGTCCTTCGAGTGTGAGGGATAACCCTGTGACAGTTACTCAGGTATGCTGACTTCTGATTGAACTGCTTCTGGTTATTCTTACATATCTGTCCCTTCTATTTGTTCGGTAAGAAAAACGACGAATTACTTAGTCTGCTGCAAAGGAAGGAGCCAGCCTGGCCGTAACAGAAGCACACCGGCCATTTTCCCGTTGTTCTGGCTAATTAAGTAGTCATCATGAAACTGCATCTCTTGAACTCATTCCATAGTCCAAGGAGGCCCTGGTCTCCATTGTAGCCAAGATTATAAACTTGTATCACAAGACATAGGCAAAGCTGATCTGTAGGTGGATTTTTCTTTGAGCCACCAGCTCACAAAAAATGACACCTATTATTAATTATGAAAGCTCGGCCTATAACTTAGACTTGTCCCGCTAGCTCTTGTAACATAAAGAAACCCATTTAGCTGGGCATTGGTGATGCACACCTTTAATCCCAGCACTTGGGAGGCAGATGCAGGCAGATCTCTGTGAGTTCGAGACCAGCCTGGTCTACAAGAGCTAGTTCCAGGACAACCTCCAAAGCCACAGAGAAACCCTGTCTCGAAAAACCCCAAAAAAAAAAAAAAAAAAAAAAAAAAAGGAACCCATTTATATTAGTCTACATTTTGCCATGTGGCTTTTTACCTCTCTTCCATCTTGCACCTCCTGTTTCCTCTCTGTGTCCTCTGGCACATCTCCCACGCCTGGATTCACCTCCCCTTCTCTGTGTGTGTCTCTCTCTCTCTCTCTCTCTCTCTCTCTCTCTCTCTGTGGGCCCAGAAGTCCCGCCTAGCCTCTTCCTGTTTAGCTATTGGCAACTTAGCTCTTTATTATAAACCAGTCAGAAGGCGCCTTGGCAAAGACACGTCTTTACAGTGTACGAAAAGATTAGCCCCACCTTTATTTTGTGCATGTATGTATTTGTGTGGGTGTGTGTACCACAACACACACGGAGAGGACAACCTGCAGGAATTGGTTCTCTCCCTCTAGCTGGGCTCCAGGGATTGAACTCAGGTTGTCAGGCTTGGCAGCAAGCACCCTTACCCGCTGAGCTATCTCTGGCTAGTTTTTCTTTCATCCCTGCTATTTGCATTGAGACTGAAATGTGTGACTGTGACTATCTTGGAACCTTATATAGCCTAGGCTGGACTCAAAGTTTTAGCAGTCCTCCTCCCTCTACTCCCAAGTATTGGAGTTACAGGCATAAGCCACCCTACCTGGAGTTACAGGCATAAGCCACCTCTGCAACAATAAATCTTTCGGCCAGCCACCCAAGTTCTGCCCGCTGCATTAGGGCCCCAAATAGCACACAGACACAGGTACAATGCTGCTGGCCAATGGCTAGGATTTCTTACTGCTAGCTCAGTCTTAAGTACTATTAATCTATATATTTATAAGAACTTATCAGATGCCAGCGACAGGCATCTTCTCTTACTGGGATCACATGGCGGCTCCACAGAGAAGAGAGGAGGAGCAAGAGAGTGATTTCCTGCTTGTCTCTGCTTATATTCCGAGTCTGCCTGCCATGTCACTTCCTGCCTGGATCACAAGACTTCTTTACTACATTTCCCAGAATCCTCCTCAACTCCTAGTCTCACCTAACTTGCTTCCCTATTGGCCAAAAGTATTTTATTTATCAACCAATAATACAAACATATACACAGAAGGACTTTCCCCATCACACCTCCTCTTCCATCCAATAAGAGTAGATGGCTTGTGGGCCATAGACTCTGACAGTTAAACATGGCACATTTTACAAGTTGTAGAATAGGTGATTTTAAAAGAGAGGAAAGGAGAAAATTGATTTTTTTTTTTTTTTAGAAATTTTCTTTGTAAGTAAAACTCTGGTTTGTTTTCCCAACTAATGCCTGTTATCTGTAAAACATACACAGGTGCACAGTGCCAGTCTAAAGATGCTTTAGGAACCAAATAGAAGGAAAGCAGGGTGTGGTGGTTCAAGCCTGCAACCCTAGCATTTAGGAGACTGAATCCAGAGGAATGCCTCAGGTTGAAGTGAGCTTGAGACAGTCTGCACCAACTAATGAGACAAAACAAGCCAGGCAGTGGTGGCACACACCTTTAGTTCCAGCACTCGGGAGACAGAGACAGGCAGATCTCAAGGCCAGCCTGGTCTACAGAATGAGTTCCAAGACAGGCTCCAAAGTTACAGAGAAACCTTGTCTTGAAAAGCAAAAACACAAACCAAAAAAAAGTACTGAGCTGGGTAATGGTGGCACATGCTTTTGATCCCAACATTTGGGAGGTAAAGGCAGGTGGATCTCTGAGTTTGAGGACACCAAGAGCCACACATAGAAACCTTGTCTCAAAAAAAAAAAAAACAGGGCTGAAGAGATGGCTCAGGGGTTTAGACCACTGGCTGTTCTTCCCAGAGGTCGGTCCTGAGTTCAACTCCCAATAACCACATAGTGGCTCACAGCCATCTGTAATAGGATCTGATGCCCTCTTCTGTAGTGCAGAGCACTCATAAATAAATAAATTTAAAAACAGAAACAAGAAAGCAGGAGTACAGTAGAGATCTTCAGAGGTTAAGAGTACCTGCTGTTCTTCCATGAGACCCTAATTCAAAACAATGTCAGAAAATGTAAGTACATGGATAAAAATACCATGTCTTTTGGGCAGACTCTAAGGAGGGCTGAAAGCGTTAAGGAACTGGACCCCGAGCACAGAGAAAATGACGTAAAGCTTGATCCTGAAACTGCAGCCGCAGAAGCTGTGCTCCTGGAAGATGCTGGACCCCAGAAGGCAGACCTTGGCAGAAAGGTAACAGCCGCAGCAGGGTGGGGGTGCTGGGAAGATTCGATCAGGGGAGCTGAGGTGTGCTTTTCAGTGAGAGAGCTCTAAATCGCAGTGAGATGATAAATCTTCTTTAATTTGATTGATGGATTCATCGAATAGCTACATCAGCAAAGTGTTATCATCGCTTCGTATAGACGACTTCATGCATTCTAGCAGGAAATAATGTTAATATTCTTAATATACTTCAATGTAGACTTATTCACAAGTATTTGTGGTAGTGTATAACTTGGGGGCATAATTTTTAATCAGTGAGATCATTTCAGCTTTACTGACATTAAATATGGCAAGAATGCTCTGAAAAGCACTTTTTCTTACTTTGTAGCTTAAAAGAACTGAAAGTATTTTTTATGAAATGCTCTTCACACCTGAGCCAAATGGAATGAGTTCTGAGGGAGTGATGGATACAGAAAAGCATAAAGATCAGACACTGGAAGATGTTACGTGCAGGTAAGAGCTAAAGAAGAAGGAGTAGACTGTCTTTAAAAAGAGCCTATGGGGTGTTTTATGGTGTCTGTCTGTCTGTCTATGTATGAGTGTTTTGCCTGAATATGTATATGTACACCTTGTGTGTGATGTGGCCTGCTGAGGCCAGTGCTGGATTTAACTGATGATTGTGAGCTGCCGTGTAGCTAGACCCCATGTTCTCTGCAAGAACAACCAAAGCTGTAACTACTAAGCCACCTCTCCAGCTCTACTATGTGATCTTCTGATAACAGTGAGCTAAGCTAGGTGAGGCTGTGCTCCGTGCTCAGGAGGCAGAAGCAGGTGGATCTCTTGAGTTTGAGTCCAGACTGGTCACAGAGTGAGTTCCAGGACAACCAGGGATACACAGAGAAACCCTGTATCATAAAAAACAAAACACACATGGGGTGGGCCTAGGCCCTATCCCAAAGGATATGACAGACTCTGATGACACCCTATGGAAGGCCTCACCATCCAAGGGGAGCAGAAAGGACATGTGATAGGTAGGGTTTTAGTTGGGGGGGGGGCGTGGGAGGGGAGGAGGGGAGGGAGAGGGAAATGGGATTGTCATGTAAAACAATCTTGTTTCTAATTCAAATTTAAAAAATCTGCAGAAAAAAAAAATATGCCTGGCCAGTAGTGGCACATGTCCTTAATCTCAGCACTAAAAGGCAGAGGGAGGCAGAACTCTGTGAGTTCGAGGCCAGCCTGGTCTGCAGAGTGGGTTCCAGGACAGCCAGAGGTACACAGTGTAAGCATGAGTTTCCTGGCATGGCAGGTCCCATGGCCCTTGAGCCCCAAATGAACACACAGATGCTATATTAGTTATGAAACTGTTGGCCAATAGCTTGGGCTTCTTGTTGGATAGCTCTGTCTTAATTGTTAACCCATAACTATTAATCTGTGTATTGCCACGAGGCTGTGGGCTCACCCAGTAATGCCTGGCATGATGTTACTCCTCTGGCAGTATCGAGACTCTGTCCAGCAGGCTCACTCTGTCTACCTTTCCCGCAATCATCTTCCTTCCTCTGATAGCCCCGCCAATCCTTTCTGCCTGGCCACTAGCCAAACAGTGTTTTATTCATCAGCCAATAAGAGGAACATACACGGGGCTGGAGACATGGCTCAGCGATTAAGAGCACTGACTCTTCTTCCAGAGGTCCAGCAACCACATGGTGGCTCACAACCACCTTGAATGAGATCTGGTGGCCTCTGCTGGCATGCAGGCAGAAGACTGTATACATAATAAATAAATAAATAAAATCTTTTAAAAAAAAAAAGAGAGAGAGAAACATACACACAGAAGGACAACCCCGTCAATACAGAGAAACCTGGTCTCGAAAAAAAAAACAAAAACTAACAACAAAACAAAAACAAGGCTAGCTTCTGGATCAGGAGTGGACTTTATGGGTCTAAAGAAAAGAGTTAAACCGGGCATTGGTGACGCATGCCTTTAGTCCCAGCACTTGGGAGGCAGAGGCAGGCGGATCTCTGTGAGTTCGAGGCCAGCCTGGTCTACAGAGCGAGTGCCAGGATAGGCTCCAAAACAATACAGAGAAACCCTGTCTCGAAAAACAGAAGGAAGGAAAGAAGGAAAGATGAAAGGAAGGAAGGAAGGAAGGAAGGAAATGAGTTAATTGTTTGTTGTACAAACATGAGGACACGAGTTCAGATCCCTTGAATGCACTTAAAAACTAGGACAGCAGTGCACACCTGTATACTATGGGAGGCTGTGCAGAGACAGTGAGTCCCAGAAGCTGTTGCACCAGCTAGTCTAGCCAATCCAAGAGCTCCAGGTGCAATGAAGAGACCCCGGCTCAGAAAATACCAGAGAGCAGCAGAGGAAGAGACCACTCCCTCTGACCTCCTCACACCTGTAAACACACACAAGCATGTGCACAGTCATGTACCACACACATATACACATTAAGATGTTATCTGGTGGGGGCTGGGCAGATGGCTCAGTGGTTAAGAGCACTGACCGCTCTTCCAGAGGACCCAGGTTCAATTCCCAGCGCCCACATAGCAGCTCATAACTGTCTATAACTCAATCAGAGCAAAACACCAATGCACATAAAATAAAAGTAAATAAATTAAAAAAAAAAAAAGATACTATCTGGCAATACAGTGAATACAGACCTTTTGGGATCCTGGTCAGACAATCCTAACATGCCATTATAAGAGATTCAGGAAAGTTTTGGAGTACTGACTTGATAAATAATGGTGTTAACGTGTTGGACACACATGCTAGGGGCTGGAGAGGTGGCTCAGCAGTGAAGAGCCCAGGCCACTCTTAGAAAGGACTTGGTTGGATTCCCAGAATGGGGAATCTGATGATGCCCTCTTCTGGCCACTTTGGGTACTGTGCAAACATCTAGTGTGCAGACTTACAAGACAAAACACCCATATACATAAAACAAAAATTTAAAACAGAAATGTTGGTTTAGGGAATGAGGAATTCATCTGAGTGTAGCTAGAACACAGTGGTAGAGGGGAACTCCTAAAGCTGAGTGGGCGGCCTCCGTAGATGACTTGTTCTGATGTTTTTTCTGCCTGTATTTTATAAGAAAGTAGCATTATTTACGAGAAAAACATTAAGTTGTTAAATCTAGATGGCGACATCTTTTCTCTGAGTGGGTGTGTGTGTGTGTGTCAGGAGAGGGTCTCGGGTAGCCCAGGCTGGCCTAGCACTCTGTGAAATCAGGAAGCCCTTGGACTTGTGATCCCCAGCCTCCACCCTCATGTACTGGGATTGCAGGTGTGCACCACACACGCGGCTCCTGTGTGGTTAAGTACGGTGGTGCACACCTGTGGTCTCCGTATTTGGGAAGCCAAGTCAAGAGGATAGAGTTCAAGAACAGCCTAGGCCATGTAGCCAGACCCCACCTCAGAAGAACAAAGGAGAAGCTGGATGGTGTCCTGCAAGTTTTAATGCGCTGGTCTATTCTCGTTAGCCCTCAAGAAGAGGCGGAGATGACAAACCATCAGGCAGAGGATCACCCTGAGGAAGCACAGAGTCTTCATGAAGAGGAGGGAACTCTTGCTTCTTTGGAGTCACCTCCTGAGATTCCTAGAGAGAATCAAACCACAGGTACATGCACGCTCCGTGCTCCCTTAGTGGGGGCTTCTATGCAGTGAGTCCACCAAGGCTCTCACTACAGCAGCTTAACTGCAGGCAACAGCTTTGCCTTTGCATGAGCCTGAGGCTCGTGATTGCCCTGCCTGGAGGAGGAAGCCTCTGTCCCGGCTCTGACGCCCAGGCTTGGGACTCAGAGGGCTCGTTTGCTTTTTATTTTCAATTGTGACATGGTGAACTATTGCTAAAAAGATTGTAGAGGAGCCAGGCATGGTGACCCTCCTGCAGTTCCTGTATTCTAGAGGGTGCCACAGTCCAAGGCCCACCCGTGCTAACATGGCATGAGCTTGTCTCTAAGATCATCTGGCTGGCGGGATGGCTCAGTGCTTAAGGCCACATACTGCTCTTACAGAGTTTGGTGCCACATCCGATGCCAGACGCCTTGAGCACCCCGTTACACAGACATGCACACTTGTTTGTTTGTTTGTCCGAGATAGGGTTTCTCACTTTGTAGCTGAGGCTGGCCTCAAACTCACAGAGATCTGCTGCCTGCCTCTGCCTCCCTAGGGGCTGGTATTAAAGGAGTTTGCCACCCAAGCCCAGCAACATAATTTAAAACAAAATCTTTTTTAAGCAGTGCCTTCCTACGTGGAAATATTTCCTGCTCACAGGCGATTCTTAGAAACCACAACCTGATACTTTGTTACCTGATCTAGTTACAGGAAGGTGATCTTGCTCTGGCCTGGCGAATACCATGATGCACACGGGGATTCCAGTGGGATAGTACCCCACTGTCCATAGCACTTTAGAGAGTGGGCGGCCGGCCGGGTGCTAATCTCTGTCACTCACTCTCTGTTTCATTTTTGTGCAACGTGTGAATGTGGGGGTGAACCTTGACCTCCACATGCAGGTCTTCCACTCCTGAGCTTCAGCCACAGCTTTCTCATGTTTTTGAAGCCCTTTTTCTTCTTTCTGGCAGAGTTTTAGGGGATTGGAGTGGGGTTAGGCATCATTTTAGCCTGTTTGCTGTGGTTACTGCTGCTTTGAGGGGGGGGGGAGTGTGTGCATTCAAGACAGAGTTTCTCCGTGTCACCCTGGCTGTCCTGGGACTCTAGACCAGGCTGGCCTCAAACTCACAGAGATCTGCCTGCCTCTCCTTGATGAGCGCTGGGACTAAGTGTGCACCACTACACCTGGCCTCTTACATGTTTGCTTCTTGTGCTCTGTAAGCAAAACACATTTCCGGTCCTCTAAACTCACACTTGCTTGCCAGCCTGATACCAGAGAGCAACAGTAGTGACCTGTTACTTCTGATGACACGGCGCGAGCACAGGAATTCTCACTTTGTAATCAGCAGAACCACTTTGTCGTTGTACAGTCTGCATCAGAGTGCCATGGTGCTGAGCCTGCAACACTGATATCTCTTGGTATTTAGCTGCATCAACTAGAAAAGACCCTCTGGCAGACACCTGGGAACTGACCTGAGAGCTAAAAAGGAAAGAATGACTGGGCGTTGTGGCTCACACCTTTAGTCCCAGCACTTTGGGAGGAGGGGGCAGGCAGATTTCTGGTCTACAGAGCAAGTTCCAGACAGCCAAGTCTACACAGAGAAAGCCTATCTCGAAAAACCAAAGGAAGAAAGAGGAGAAAAAGGTTTGACCCCTCCCTAGCCTGTGGCAACACAGTCTCACCCCTCCACAGCCCTGTGGCATTGGGGAGATCACAACATCAGCAGCAATTATCTGTGGGGTCTCTAAGATGTCACCTTCTGGCCTCTGGACTGGAGACTTGACTAAGTGAGTAAAGGCACATGGCACCAAGCCTGATAGCTGGAAGTGGATTTCCATGCTGTCTTCTGACCCCACAAGCATGCACACACAATAAATATTAATTAGCTTTGTTCAAAACAACTTGTGTATGTATGAATATATATATATCACATATATGTGTGTGTGTATGTGTACTTATCTTCTGTTTTCTTGGTGTATTTTAGTGAAAAGTCTGTCCCCGTCTCCCGAGTCCTCCGCATCACCAGCTCCGCCCACTCCACCAAAGCTCACAGAAGGATCGCATTTCATGTGTGTGTAGTCTCAGAAGTATGTCTTCTCCTTCTCTTCGGTACCTTGTGTTAGGAGTGGTCTGCTTGGATGGTATCATCTGCTGGAACAGTAGTACAAGTGAATTAACTATGGACTGTGCATGGCCAGAGTGCCAGGCCATTTGTCTGAAGCCCAGATGGTAGCTCAGGTTTCTCCGCTAGCCTTGGAGAGATTCAGTGTTTTTTCTCAGTTTCTCAGCCTGTGCCAGCCCTCCCCCAAGCCTGAGCTATGCTCTCACCTGACATCCTGCCCACACGCAGGCCTGAGGATGCATTTGTACTCATTTCATGCTCACAGGACCATGTTGGGCACCGAGTTTGACTCCTCTGCCTAGTTGAGTAAGCTTTGTATGAGTTGGGGTTTTTGTAAGGATGAAGTTAGGTTGCAGTGAGGTAGCATTGAAATCCTAAAACCATGGCTGCGGGCAAGGATGAAGAGGAGGCCACTCCTACAGTGCCCCTTAGGTGCCAGTTTTAGAATTGAGGATAACTACTGGGCAATGGTGGTGTACACCTTCACTCCCAGCACTTGGAGACAGAGGCGGTTGGATCTCTGTGACTTTGAGGCCAGTCTGGTCTACAAAGTTCCAGAACAGCTCGGGCTACACAGAGAAACCCTGTCCAAAGTATTGAGGATAACTTTCTAACTTTCTGAGTCACTGCTTCCTTTGTTCGTTTGCTTTTTATTACAGTTGTGTGTGTATGTGTTTGACAGGCATGAGTGGAGTTGGTTCTGGGATTTGAACTTGGGTTGTCAGGTGTAGTGGTAGCACCACTAACACACACACACACACACACACACACACACACACACACACACACGGGCCTGCTCGTAAACAATGGAGACAGCACCTACTTTACCCATAAGTCTGTGCTTAGCGGTAAATAGTTTTCTCTTCCTGAAAAACTAGAGTGAGAATTTGTATGCCCTTTCTGTTTTCTCGGCATCTACCACCTCTTAAAACGCCAGGAGCTTTTGAGTTACCATAAGTTCCCAACAGTCATATAAGCGGTAACACGAACAGTCAAAAAGTCAGCAGGGCCTGTTGTCTGGAATCTGTCTTCTTCACCCTTGCTTTTGTAGTGACTCTTCTCTTTGTCCAGAAACATTTGTGTGATTGGCTTTTATTTGAGGTTGTCTGTGTGGAGCCTAGAAGCTTCTGCGGGTTGTAGTTCAGGGTCTGCATGGGTTGAGAAGCTTACTTAAGGTTAGGAGTGTATGATTTTTTTTGGGGGGGGGTTGGGTTTTTCGAGGCAGGGTTTCCTCTGTGGCTTTGAAGCCTGTCCTGGAACTAGCTCTTGTAGACCAGGCTGGTCTCGAACTCAGAGATCCGCCTGCCTCTGCCTCCTGAGTGCTGGGATCAAAGGTGTGTGCTACCACCTCCTGGCTCTTTTTTGATTATTTTTAGGTGACACTGGTGACAGAATAACACTAGACACGGGGAGAATAAGCATGTGCATGCACCCTCGTGGATGGTGGCCTATACTTAGTTCGTGAAAGAGGGACACTGGAAACCACTCACTGGGCCAGGTGTGGTGATACGAGCCTTAGTCCCAGCACCTGAGAGTCAGACACCGGTGGGTCTCTGAGTTTGAGGCCAGCCTGGCGTTTACATAGTGAGCTCCAAGGGGCCAGGGCTGCACAGTGAGACCCTGTATCAAAACCCAACACGATCTGTTGGGAGTTAAACATGTAGCTCAGTTGGTCGAGCACACTCCTTACTGGCATGCAGAGTCTGGGTTCAGTTCCCAGCACCACAAAGAAGCAGGCAGGATGGCTGTCTTAGTTGGTGTTGTATTTCTGTGACCATGGCAGCTCTTAAGAAGGAAAACATTTAATTGAGGTGGCAGCTTACAGTTCATTGGTTTGGTCCATGAGGGGAGCGTGGCCGCACGGAGGCAGATGGGGTGCTGGAGAAGGAACTGCTACATCTTGAACCATAGGCAGCAGGAAGTGAACTGAACTATTGTTGCTTGAGCATAGGAGACCTCAAAGCCCACCTGGCCAGTAACACACTTTCTCCAATAGTAGCCACATCTACTCCAACAAGGCCACACTTCCTAATCGTGCCACTCACTTTGGGGAGGATTTTCTTTCAAACCACCACATAGTGCACATGAGTAATCCCAGCACTCGGGAGGCAGAGGCAGGCGGATCTCTGTGAGTTTGAGGCCAGCCTGGTCTCCAGAGTGAGTGCCAGGACAACCTCCAAAGCAATAAAGAGAAACCCTGTCTCGAAAAAAACCAAGGAAAAAAAACAAAACAAAACAAAATACCCCAAACAAAGATTTACCAATTTGGCAACTTGTTCTGGATTTTTGTCTTTTAACTTTTATTCCAAGTGGCATTGGTCATCACATCCAGGCACGGATGTCACCAGATATTTTCTTATCTCCTGTTATGCGGCCACCACACACAGCTAACTTGGGGCACAGACTCTGTCACTAACATTTTCCCATTGTGTCTGCCGTGTTTTTCTGGATTTGTGGATTTGGCAGAGTGTAGGAACTCTCCCAAGCACGCTGCCTCGGGAGTGGCTCGGTTCCCACTGTGGTGAAGTCAGGCACAGCTATGCCTGCTTTATTGATCCATTCACAACAACCTGGAGACATTTTTCTGAATTGCTGTTTAACTGCATCATCACACTTCGTCACATTCTCAGTTTGACGGAAGGAAATGAGGAAAGTGCCCTTTGTGTGTTCTGTGGTAGGGTTTTCCAGGCCGAGTTTGTAACTGTGGGATATTGCCATGCATTAGCTTTGCAGACTCGAAAAGTAACTTCCTGTCTCTTAATTTTCAGCTGCACTGACGTCTCTTGAGAGCACACAGAGCTGAAGCCGTGGACCCTCAGCGATGGAAGATGTTGTACAGTATACCTTAAATCTATGAAATTCATAGTTCTGATGCATCTGACCACAGAGCATCGTTTTATCACTTTTGGAAAATGTTTATTCCAAAATAGCTTTAACGGCCCATGTGTGCACTCCGTAGTCTCGAGGTCACCATCCTCCGCCAGCTTGCTGCTATGAGTTCAGAGCCCACCCACCAGTCCAGGTGCTTTCTCCCGCGCTCCATCCATCCAGAGCTTGCTTAGTTGCAGTTCCCAGATTTAGATGCTTAAGTCTCGGTGGATTTATGTTTTCTTTGGCTTTTCGGCAAAGCTATATTCCCCTGTGAGCCTTGTTTTCTTTCCTTTCTTTTCTTCCCATTCTGGCTACTGCAGTGCTTTGTTTGACACTTGATTTGTAAAGATTTTATATAAATATATTTAAAATGTGCCATTTTATTACTGCTAAGTGAAGTATGTCCCGTTTTCTGCTATAATTCTTCCTCAGTCAGATACAGCGTTAGCAGTTACTACCACTCTGTCAGCTCCCACACAAATGCCATTGCTTAGCTTTTCCTTAAAAAGCAAAACAATTACAAGTGTAGGTATTTTGGAAGTACTGGACTTTTACATCGTTGGAATAATGTGTACAGCAATAAAGCAGGCTTTTAGCTCCAGTACTTGGTTTGTGTACAGATGTAATTATGTTCATTGTGTAGATGTTATACAGTGAGCACATGTAATAAAGGCGCTTACTAGAGTTTACTGCAAATGTTCATATCTCATTTCTTTTTTATCATGTTAAATAAATGTTGATGTTCTTAAATCGCTTGTGTTAGACTCTTTTTCCCTCCCTCTCTCCCACCCCTGTCCCTCCACCCACCCTCCGCACTCCAGGGTTTCACTGTGTTGTAGCTACGGCTTTGAGAGACAGCCAGCCTGCCTCAGCTTCCCAAGTGTTGGAATTGGAGGTGTTCACCACTCTCTGGCTCGTATCTTTTTCCTTTTTGTCTAAAATGGTGAATCCGAGACCTGGAATGTAGCCCAGAGGTAGATTACTTTCCCAGCGTGTGTGAGCCCCTCTGATCAGTTCCCAACACCAGAAGAAGAAAAGGTGGGGGGAGGAGTCAGAGACCCAAGTGACTTCTAAAAGAAAAAATGGGTGTATGAATCCCACCACCTCCCTGGGCAGCGCTATTAAAAGGCCTGTATGCCCTACCCTCCTATGACAGCAGAGGAACCTGAGGCCAGAGAGGAAAATGGTGCTGACCATGGTCATATCCACTTCATGACACAGTGTAGGGCCACTGTGTCCTTGTTCTGACTTAATAAATCCATAAACCCATCAGCTTGTCACCAATGGGCAGAGTTAGTTTTGAGACGTCCCCTGTCCCTTTTCCCTGTCTCCAGGCTGCAGTCCCAGTGTGCTTAGAGAATGAGCATGGGGGTTGGGGCAGACAGGGTGGCTTCCCGCCACTGGGAGCTGGAGACCGTCTCTCCTGAGTGGGGCCCTCAGAGATGGTCTCTTTAGAACACATTCTTTGCGGGTGTTCACGCTCTTCACAGTCAATTACGTTTCCCTCCCCTCCAGCCCTTTGTTCGTGCTATATATTGTTCCCAGACTACAAGGAAATGGGGTGCTTTCTGGATAGCCTCGCTGGTGCTGGTTAGCACTGGTCAAATCAGGCCCCCACCCCATGGTACACGAAAGAGGATTTAGACTTAATTCAGAAGGCAGATGAATAAATATGCATGCACTTCCAAAGGAATCAAACAAACAAAAATGTGCTTAGCCAGAGTCTGTGGGTCAGTGAAAACAAGTCAGGACAGCGTTGCCAGCTCGGCGTCTGTAAACAGTATCTTTATGTGACACTGTGACACCGTGAAACACAAGTCTCAGACTATGGCCCTGTCCCCTCTGTCATAACATTATAGAAGGTGGCTTTGTCCTGATGAAAGGTAGTTGGGCTTGGTTTTTCTCCAAGGACTTTTTGGATTTCTTTAAGGGCTCAGGTTTGGGAATGTCTCTTTTTCTTTTTTTTAAGATTTGATTAAGTGTGTTTGTGTGTATTTGTACACACAAGTTCAAGATCCCGGCGAGGCTAGAGAGATCAGATCCCCCTAGAACTGGAGTTACAGGAAGTTGTGAGCTAATGTTAATCCCACTAGGCAAGAGTAAGTCCACTACCACAATTTTGAGCCACATTGAAGCAAGCTTTAATTAAATACTGGCCAGGATGATGGACTTTGGCCAGGTCCATTTTGGGGTTCCCAGAAAATGACCATGAGCTAAGTTGGCCAGGTAGTTACACAGACAAACCCATGAGGCTACTTCCCACCTACATCCAACCCGGAGTAAGATACATCATGGTGTATCTCCTGCCCACGTAGCTCCCACCTACGTGTGATCAAGTACATCTGTGCAACTGGGTCAGCCAGACTTGTTTAGGGAAGTGAAAACATGTGGCTTGTTATCTTACTTGAACAGCAGTCTCCAGTTCCTCAGGAAGTATCTGTCCTTGGGCTAGGAACTTACAGGTCAGAGGCATTTTTGTTATGCGGATCTCGTAGGCACAGTAATTAAAACTTAAAAACATAGCTTTAGCTCCCACACTGCCTGACACGGGTGCCAGTTGCCAAACTCAGGTCCTCCAGAAGAACAGTCTATATTTACACCCTTAGCCCCTCACATCTCTCCAGACCCTGTTTGCCTTTTCATACCTGTATATTTCTAAGTATCTGAATGTGCACCAGTTTGTGAATGTGCCCGTGGCCTGAAGGGCTTCTGACAACCTAACGTAGTTTCCAGTGATTGTGACCCGCCCGATGTGGGTGCTGAGAACCAAACCTAAGTGTCCTAACCTGAGCCACGCCTCTGACTCCTCCCCACAAATTTTCAGAACGTGAAGAAGTTGATGTAATCTCTGTAAATCATCTTAAGTGCTGAAGGAACTCTTGAAGCGTATCTAGTGGAATCTACCTCTTGTGATTCTTTTTGCCTTCACCGCCCTCGTGCTGGGATTGTAGGCCAGCACCACCACGACCCATTTTATGTGGCCCTGGGGAACAAACCCAGGGCTTCCTGGATGCTGGGTAAGCACTCTGCCAATTGAGCTGCCTGCCTGCCTGCCCTAGATCCAGTCACTGAATGCAGAAACTGTTTTGTTTTGCTAAAGGGCTTTGAGTGGAGTTTTCCCCAATTGCCTTGAACTTATGTGCTGGCTAAATGTAAATCTGTAGTATGTGGTTCTGTTTCGTTTTAAGTAGGCATTGATTTTTTTTTTTCCATTTGTCAATTTTGAAGTCTTAATTGTAATTTACATTGAAGAGTCAAGCAGAAACTTGCAAAGGCCGAGAGTAATACAGCTGGCAGAACTAAACCATGCCAGGGGATTCCAGCCTGCGGTAGCACTCCAAAACATAGGCTAGACCAGGACAATGTCCCTGTGTAAATGGGAGTCAGCAACTCCCAAATAAACACACTGAGACTTCGTAGTACTTGTTACTAACTAGCTATTACATTTAAATCAACCCATATTCCTTATTAGACCAGGAATTAAACACACTGAGACTTAGTAGTACTTGTTACTAACTAGCTATTACATTTAAATCAACCCATATTCCTTATTAGACCAGGAATTAAACACACTGAGACTTAGTAGTACTTGTTACTAACTAGCTATTACATTTAAATCAACCCATATTGCTTATTACATAGCACTTTCACCTCTTGTTCCCTCTACTTCTGACTGGTGACTTCTAACTCTGCCCATAATTCTCCTTCCCATAATTCTCAGTTTGGCTTTCCCTGCTGAAACTTACACTGTTCACCTATTGGCCAGTCATCTTGTTTATTTTTTTGTTTTGTTTTGGTTTTGGGTTTTTTGGTTTTGGGGTTTTTTTTGTTTTGAGTGATCTTGTTTATTAAACCAATCACAGTGACAAATCTTCACAGTGTACAAAGAAACTATTCCAAGGCATCCCTGTGTGCAGCACTCAGCGTCCCCTGGTCTCCGGGTACAATCCCTGTCCCTCTCTCTTTCCCAAGGCACTGCTCCATCTAACAGGCTTTTGACACATCCCTCAGGGGTGCAGGTGTCAGTTGTTACATTGTATTTTGTTGTTGTTGTTGTTGTTTTTGGTTTTTCTGGACAGGGTTTCTCTGTGGCTTTGGAGGCTGTCCTGGAACTAGCTCTTGTAGACCAGTCTGGTCTCGAACTCACAGAAATCCTCCAGCCTCTGCCTCCCCAGTGCTGGGATTAAAGGTGTGGCCACTACCGCCCTGCGTCAGTTGTTACATTGTTAAGGCAGCTGCAGAGATAGAAGGCAGAGAGAGGCTTGGTCTGACCTCAGGGACCATGCTTTTACACAGTTTTACACACTTTGGTCACTCCACGTGCAGGTGACCAAAAGACCAAAGAGGAAATGACTTTCCCAGTCTGCAAGGGCAGCTGGGAGATGAAGCCAATTGCTCACATAGTCAACAGGGAAACTGGGAGATGTAATTTTTCTGCCGCAAACTATCATTCCTAACTCAGAGAATATAAAAAACAAAACTCAGGGCAGAGGCGTTCTAGCTGTTTCCTGCTGAGGGGGGTCGTGGCTGGAGGGGTAGCTCCGGGTCCATTAAATGTAGCTCTAGTCATGTAGCACAAGGAAACTCTTATCTTGATCGGCTGCTATGGATCATGCAATTGCCGTCCCCTATTCCTGAAGACACTTGGAAAGTAATTATCTATGTAAGCAGATGACACAGTTACAGAGTATAGAACCGGAGAGAGATTTTCTGGGAAGGCTGAGGGATAGGGAACAGGAGAAAATGGAAGACTAATGTAAAGAATTGTATCTGGCCTGGGGTGAAAGGCTGAGAGGCCTTTTTGCAGATTGTCTTAGGGTTTTATTGCTCTGAAGAGACACCATTTTTAAGGAAGATGTCAATCTATAGAACTCATCTCTATAGAGGTGTCACATGAACTTTACAAATTTTGATATAGTCAATCTGATCATTAGTTTAGTTTGCACTTTATTGTATTCATGGGATTGAGTTAATTATCACCAGGAAAGTTTTCCCCAAATAATGCTGTAATTAAATGTGCCTAAATAAACTGCTCAATGTCAGACTTCCAAAGTATGAACTAACACTAGCTATTTAAGTAGTGTTGACCCTAACTGCCTTCTTGTCTTCCTCTGCTGGCCATGGTTACAGAGACTTCTCACAGCCTACCTCACCCAAGACAGAAACTTTGGAGATAATTTTTAAACAAACATCCTTGAATCTAGAGCAAGCAGGCCAAATTCCAACTCTAGAGGCAGCCTTTTTTAATTGAGTAGAATGTCATGAAACAATTTCTCAATATTATTTACCCAATTATTTGAATCTCAGTAAGACTGAGCCCAATGATCTACATATCCATAACTACTTTGTGTGCGTGTCTGCAAATGAAGAAGAGAATCTGAAATGCTTCTGCCTCTTAGCCATTAAAGATACAAGCATAATTTTTCAGGCTTGGAAAGGCAGAAATACAGTGCTCCAAAAACATAAGGCAAGCGAGTCCTATGCTCTGAGGATAGAAATGTAAGTTTGGAGAAGAAATGGTGATGTGTCTTCCACCTCTAAGTAGGGTTGAAAGCCAGAGCCATGAAAAGGATTAAAGTGAACTTTGAGTTATGTGGGTGAGAGGCCTCAGACCTTGCTAGTATTCAATCTTGTGTAGTAACCTAACTCTGTTTAGATATTAGAAATAGAAAGTTCTGGGTTTGGGCAAGCAGTGC